TGCAAAGCCTTAGGGAGGGGTGATCAGGTAGATTTTATGAAGACAATCAAATCCTCCGATACCCCCAGGTAATAAGTTAGACCATCACTCAGCCACGCTCATCTTCGTAAGAAAGAAGTAGTTTAAGGAGAAAGGTGAAAACTTTATGCAAAGAACCATCATGATATTAACCCATGCTTTCTCCGAGTGCGATGGCTTTACCGCTAAGAGCTCACAAATTATAGAAACGATCAGATAACAATAAAGTTTTCCACAAAAGAGATAGCAAGTGAGCTGTTGCGCAATTTCAGATCTAAAACACATGCATAACATCACGTACTGAAAATCACTCTGGAAATTGTAAAATGCATGTTTTTCGAACACTTAATTGCGACAGAGTGGGGAAAATTGGGACCGAAGCTTCCGGATTCTCAAAGACGCTTTTTGCCAATTTCTACTGCTCATCCGTCGAAAACTTTCACAGGGCGGCCAGTTACGCTGGCTAAAGACGCATTGATGAGAAAGGAAGTTTCTATTTTCCTTACAATATAACGTGTAATGTAAATCAGTTAACAGAGGACTCGAAGATTTACGCAGCTGGTCTAAAAAATGTAACTTTGCATGAGCGCCATGCATGTTGAAGCCTTACGTCGAACTTTCTAGTTTCAATCTTAATTTTGGTGCATTTTTAATGATCTTGGTTTGTAATGTTAATATAATAAACGCTAGGGAGTCATGTTAATTGCGGTCAAATACACCATTTTGCTTTACGTGATCATCTTCTGTCGCGGAAGTTTAGTGGGAATAAAGGAAAACCCAAATTTTCAATTTTCAAGTTCCAGCAGTCACGGAAAGGATTCTTAGCATCGGCTCAAATGCGTCATTCGTGGTTGGAAAGATAAAAAACAGCGAAAATTTAAGGCCATCATTATCCTTAAATTACTGAAACCATACGTAAAAGATTCACACAAAATGCATCATTTCAATAAAGCAATTAAGGGCCCAAGTTAGCACGAAAAGAATTCACGGTGAGCATGACGCAGTTACTAATAGCTAGAACGATTGTCATACAGATTTAATAATACTAATGAAGGAAAAAATCACTCAGAGCGAAATCACTCCTTCCCACTTCAGATATTACACTCTTACAGTCATAAGGGTTTTTTTTCTTTTTCGAATGCACTCTCGGTGTTCATTGATATTTATGAATTTGCTGAGTTGACGCCAACTAGAACTTTTACAGTGGACGAAAACATGTTTTCTGATTTTCTGTGAGCCGTGAGTGACACTGATTTTCTACTGATTACAAAAGGAGAAAAATCCTTTGTCAATTAGGCTAATTACACAAAATTTAAGGTGAAACAGCTGAAACCATTTACACTTTAAGAAGTTTTGAAAAACGTGCTATTTGTTTGTAACATTATAACAAGTGTTTGATGAATATTGTACGTCAGAGGAAATGGTATCTTTTATTTGTTTTCTTCTTTTGCTCACGCACCTTTTTCTGCTGTTTTAGACCTGACATTACTTTAGTTTTTCGACTGCATGTGGTCTAATTACTAGAAAACTCAACAAAAGCATCTGCTTTCTAAACACTGGAGGATACTTGTCTTACTTGGAAATTTTATCATGCGAATGTACAAATTGATCGCACACATGATCACTTCATTAAAGAATTAGAGTTTGCTTTTGTGCCTAGGAAAATATTTTTTGTTAATAATACATCGCTTAAAACAAAAATTCAGCGGAAACCAACTCGTTCACGGACTAACAACATGCTGATTGCATTACATCCCCTTTTTTCGTTTCGTTTCGTCGCTTTGAAATTGTTTTAGTTTGTTTTCGGCTAACGAATACACGCCACGTAGTGCGATTAAAGACCATGATGACTTTTTTATTTGCAATCTCTTAAAAAATTTCTCGGCTGGCTTAATGGGGCATATTTTTATTATTGACCGCTAAATAAACTCTCGAAGGTAACAACTTTTTCAGTCAATCATATTTGCATATGATTATATAATGATAAAGTGAAATTTTGGAAAAAAAAAAAGAAACCAACACAAATTTGTTTCTAGAACTAGAGCGAACGTTTTCCTCGATGGACATTCGTAGAACGAAAAGGAAACTTTATTTTAAGTGCCGATTTAACCGTCGCTAATGTTGAAAGCAGAATACAATAAAGCCAAGCAGAATTCACGAGTCAAATAAACGCTAGTCCATGTTGCTTTAGGATATTTCTGTATCAGATCTGATTTTATGCGCTATACATTGTTGCTTACATTGATATAGCTATTTTTGAGGGCCAGGGATTTTCCTAAATCGCTATCGTACATAATCCCTAACTGGAATAATTGCAGTGTTAATCTTGGCCTCCACGAGGCCAAGAAATTTGCATAAAACGCTCGTATCACTCTGCAAAGTAAACCTAAACATAATGATTAGTCTCCTACAAATCGGCGTTCGATTTTCGTTTTCAGCCTGTTGTTCTTTCCTCTGTCGATTAACTACATCACTGAATCGGTAATTCTACACCATTGGATTGCATTTGAAACTCGAAATTTACGCTTCGTTGCAATCTTAAAATACAGTATATTTCTAACAATAACTACGACGCGCTATCGCCACAGAAAGAATTCTCTCCTTAAAACATGAACATATTTTATGTTCTCGATATTTTTTTGTATTTCGTCGATAGAGCATTGCACTAAAAGATTATGTGTCAGTTTTATCGAAAAGAGGTATGCTTTTCTGCAAATGATTCGCATGGGTGATTTGAAGGACATAAATGCTGATTCGGAAATCAAGTGGATATATTTCTGACTGTGGGTTTGAAAAATTGCTACAAACATCAGTTGGAATGGCTTACTTTGACAAACAACTCTAATTAAGGTTTTCCTGTCAGCAGCTTTTTCGATCGGAAGTTGTGTGTTTTTAGACCTACAGTTTCCTTCGAAGGAAAGTTATATAGCCACGATATCTGAAGCGATTCTTAGGGTAGTTACTAATGGCATAAAATACTTAACTACTCTGTACTCTGTAGATTTGAGCGTCTAAAGAGAAAAAAAATCGTATGCTTTACTTACCGGTACTTGCTTTGTTTGCATTGAAATGATCAAGTAATACCACAAGAAGAACACCGAACGACGTATGAATTCCATAAACCATGAACATGACGAAAAAAGATCCGCCGCACACAACCCAAGCCCAACCGCGATCTTTCGCCGAGCTCGTGTTGCATTCAGTCGGTAGTTGCGTATGGGAGTAGTTTATCAGAGTAATGCTTCCTCCAACGGGAATTGATGTTAGGTTTTCGATATTCATGGACGATTGTGATCGTGTTACGTCCAGATTTCGCGGGGGCATATCGCTAACTTAGAAAGTTACGCTTTCAGGTTGTAAATAAGGTTTTTCCGATACAGCAAATCGCGGAAGACAAATCAATCCTCAAGCTTGTCAAGCCTCAAGCTTTCGGTGATCGTTCCTCCACACGAATTTCTCATTTACAATTTTGCCGGTAATGGTGGATGCATCAATTGAAAAACCTGCTAAAACATGAACACCCAGTTTGCAGAACGGGAATTCGTTTGCAGTCCGCAAAAACCTAATCACTTTTCATTGGTGGAATTACCTTCATCCTGAGATCATGATAATTGCTTCACATTTTGGTTTTTCCTTCGTCGCAGTTTATCGGCGACAAGAATACGAAGGAAGCGGCAAAAAGTGGAAATTTACGAGAATCGACAACCCCAGTTGATTTCTGATTTCACCTTCTTTTGATCAAGCATTTTTGGTAGTTTGATTTTATAAACCCTTTCCGTGCTTAAATGTCATGATTAGCTTATCTCTTTTGCAAGTGTCAGTGGGAGATTTTTCAGGGGCTTCTGACATAGATTCTAGCCAATGACGAAGGAGATGCTACTCGGAGCAAGATGGCGTTACAAAAATCTGTAATCTACACGCTACTGATGCAAAAACTAACAAAATTTTTTTTTCGATTTTGCAAGATATGAAGAATTTATTTGTTATTATATGTTCATCTGATTCCATTTCATTTAGTATGCTTAATATCTTTCTTATCAGCGATTTAATTTGTCAGCGGTTTACGAATTCAGTTTGCTCAGTGCTGTGCTTCTTATAGAGTCGTTTTGCCAGCTGCGAGCCCAATATCCGCGCAAAACGATGGAGAAAACTTTAGAAACTTACAGTGTTACGCAATTTTGCGAAAAATCGAAAAGTTCATAAAAGTCTGTAAGAGAAAACAAGCATGGCAAAGGAAAATTCCAGGCTTTTCGAGCTGAAAGTTTATTTAATGACGAGTATTCCTTTGATATACAATTTGGTTCTTAGCTTCAACGTATTCACTTTGAAAATAATTTTAAACTATCATGAAGTAACCCAGCGTCCTCTGCCTTTGTCTCCCTTTTTATATATAATGAAGTAACCCTGTTCTCTCAGCTAAATTTCCTTTTTAAAGGTAATTAGACTAGCCCGCGAGCAGGCCTCAGTAGGACGCGCTTTATCCCGCGTGGAAAGATTTGAAAAGTGTCGAGGAGTGGTTTTCTGGGAATCTTACACTATCAGCTAGACCTTTGAAGCGCTTTAAATCAGGGTCTGTTCGAACGCAATCAATTAGGTTAGCAAAATTCTCTAATCGCTTTGCAAGACTTGCTTTGGGAAGTTTAATCTTTGTGATACAATTAATTTCCAAATTTTGCACAATTTTCGGATCTATATCAGTATCTGGGCAACTTCCCACTTACCCCTCCCCCAACCCAACAACAGTCAGAGGAGGGGTAGGTGGGCAGTTGCCCAGATACGGATATTGATCCCAATTTTTCGTAGCACATTCTCCTTCCCTTACGTCATCTTTCCTCTCGTTTCCAGCTCTTACTTGTTTTGTGGCTTGTTTTCAATCCCAGTTCCCGCTCCAATAATCCCGTGAACGAGATTACGTAATCGCAGCAGAGAGTTTCACCTATGACGGGATGAAATTCTGCTGTGACTATTTTCTTTTGTTCATAGTGCTTACAGTAAAGAGATTTCTGATGGGTAGCGAAGGTAAGAACGATAATTTTTAAGGCGATGGTTTTCACATTAAAGATGCGATTTGCTTAACACCGAACAAGTATTTGCACGTCTGCCTGCTTGTTCATCAACAAAACACAGTCTGTTTTAACAACGTCGTATTGAGTTAATTTTGGACGAAACCGGATGCAATTCCACTCAGAAGATTCTAGTTTCAGTTTCGAGAATATTTCTCTCGAAAAGCTGTTGACAAGTTCTTCCGATCTATAGGACTTTTCACTGTTAATGTCGACCATGCCTCTATTTTGATAAGCTCGATTAGGCACTTCCTAACTTCTTTGAATTCGTTTACATTGTCTGTCAACAACCATTTCAATAACGTATCCTTAAATTGATAAAAAATTCTCACAGTGCTGTCTATTTTTAGGATTTGTGCTGACAGAATTACGCGCTGTCTTATTATGACAAATTTATTGTAAGTTTACCAGTATGCGTGATAACTATTAGAAAATAGAATTTTTCTTGAAGATCTGGTCGTTAATGATGTTTACATTGTTTTGTGTTCGCTCTTAGATTCATTTTATTCACAAATAAATGATTTTATATGTAGTATTTAATTTGATTGGCAAATCAGCGAACGAACATGCTAAACCTTGTCGACCTCGAGTTAAATTTTTAATGACGTCATATCCTTCCGCAATAAATTTCATGGTGAGTATTTCCAGAAAAGGTCAGATCGAAGATAGCGAGTCTGCGAATATGTGGCAAGTTTTTCCACCAAAAGATTCTGTACAGAATTTTCCTGTGAAATTTTCACGTCGAGGTATTGTGTTATTAGTACTTTGAAATAGTACAACCTTCTTTTGATTATAGTCAAAACATGTGAACTGTACATCCAGAAACATTAACAATTATTTCTACCGCGTCGAGCAAAATTTTGATATCTGATGATTCATAACTTGATTTTGTGTTTGACATTGTAATTCTTTGTCTATAACGAATTTTTTGCGTTAAAAAAATTGATTTTAAACCCAAATGATCACAGGTATTTTGACTATATAAGACTGCTGATTTCAAATTCAAATGTAAACTGTCTCAGCCGTTTATTATAATTCTTGGTTTGTCTGGTTTTGAGTTTGCGATGGAAAAGCCTGTTCTGACACAATCACAGTCACTGTTGGTCTACAGTTTTGTTTGATGAGTAGGTTTCACATTTATTTTCACAATCTTATTGCAAGACATCAGTTGCGATTAAAGAACAGACAGAAAAACATTTAGGCATGATATTAACACTGCTTGCTAGAACAATTAATCTTTAACTGGCAACTGATCTGTTTAACCTTCTGTTTTTGATCAATTTATTTTGCATAATTTTTTTCCCACATTAGCCGATTACATTGGTTAATGTTTGCACATAATAACTATATCAGATTTAGAAGAATATTCAGCATCCTTTGCTCTCAGCTGTTAACAGATTCCACAGTTTAAAACTGTAAGGACAAATTAGATGCTGGTTACTCCTAGGGAGTTAACACAGTTTTCCATTCAACCAAAAGTTTTACTTTTTTGGTCATTTCTCTTTGCTGGCTTGGAATTCCAGCTGGCAACCCATTCTGGAGGAAAAGCAAATCACTAATAGTCACTTTATGCTTTGTAAACCAGGAGCCCTTGAATCCTTCTGAGTGACTAGCATCTAATTTCTCCTCACAGGATCACTATTGAATCAAACATGAAGGTTATGAGTGTAAAGGAATAGATCGACAGCTTCAGAAGCTCTTGATTTCACTTCAATTAGTTTCAAACAAGTATTTACTTAATTGTTAGCAACCAAGACAGAACAAGAACCATACAAGGTTGAATTTAGCGAGCAGGAACTTAGAGAGAGACTTACCCCACAACAGTACCGTGTGACACAGGAGAAAGGAACTGAAAGGTAAAACAAAAATACTTGTTGAGTTCTTCTCTATAGTAGGTTGTAGCTTATTTGTAATTAAACATTGATCGTATTTGTTTAAAAAACATGTTTAAAAGCAAATATGACCACTGGCTCAGGAAATCTCTCATTGCACTCTTCAAAACATTTTTTGGCATGGGATAATTTTGGTCTAAAATAAGTGGAGCCTTCGACATGCTTCTTAGATCTGCTGCGGAGTCCTTAGTTATTAAACTTATAACTTATAATTATTTGACTTTCCTTAGAGCATTTACTGGTGAGCTTGTGAATAACAAGAAAGCTGGTGTGTATAGATGTGTTGTGTGTGGCAAGGAGCTGTTTTTGTCTGACACCAAGTTTGATTCAGGGTCTGGTTGGCCTTCATTCTGGGACACACCTACAGATGGGACAGTCAGAAAAATTACAGATACTTCACATTTTATGACAAGAACTGAAGTCACTTGTGCTGATGTGAGTTGAATCCTTCCAGCTTATATTCCTTTCAGAATGGCACTCTGTAGTGAAAGCTGCACACAGAAATCTTAAGCCCTGAACTTGGCAAGATTTGGGAAAATTTCTCTCAGTAGCTGTTAGATCCTGCTAAACGTCTGTCTAATTAAGACACAGAGTCTAGTGGGTTGCCCTCTAGATTCTTGAGTAGAGTGTCATAGTTTCACTCCATGTGTTAATTTTTGGGCAAACAGCGATATTGAAGAGTTATTGGGGCCTGAAAATGATGCTGAAAGACCCCCTAAAAAATTTAGGCCTCAATGAAGTATGAACCCATATTTCACAATCAACCCATATTATTCTTCTGACCCAAATACAGGAGAAACCTGTATTGAGCAGCACTGCATTAAGTGGTCACCCTACCCTGTATTAGGAGGTCAGTTGTCAAAGTCCCAATTTGTTTCTTCCTAATCACTGCAATTTTCACTTCTAATGAGCAAGTCACCTATTATAACCCCTCAATTCCCATGAGTGACCAAGACAGAATTTCTCCTTGCAGTATCAATACAATATCAAGCAGACAAGTGATGAGAATAAAGGAAAATATCAGTTAGGGGATTATAGGTTGATCCAATACATAATTCTCCAAACTAACATCACAAGAACTGTATGGTAGACAGCAAGGAGATTTACTGGGAGTTACAGTGTTAAGCAGTCAAATTTAATTTTAGTGTGGTGCTCATTTAGGACATGTGTTTGATGATGGCCCAAGGCCAACAGGAAAGAGATACTGCAGAAATTCAGCTTCACTCAAATTTGACCACCCCTTACTGAGTCCCAACCGCTTGTTTGTATTGTCTTTCACCTGTACAGAACGGACTCTCAAAGGAACCACTCAAATGATAACAGTTTTTAACCCTTTAACTCCCAGATCAAATTTGTAATTCCCCTTTCTATCAACCATACAATTCTTCTAATGTTAGTTTAAAGGGAATTTAGTATTGGATCAATTAATTATCCCCAAATTGATACTTTTCTTTATTCTCATCACTCGTCAGGTTGATATTGTATTGATATTCTAAGGAGAAATTTTGTGACTTCTAACTGAATTTTCTTTCTTTATTGTTCCTTTTAATTTTAGTGTGGTGCCCATTTAGGACATGTGTTTGATGATGGCCCAAGGCCAACAGGACAGAGATACTGTATAAATTCAGCTTCACTCAAATTTGATCCTTCAAAAGGCAAGCATGATTAGTTTCTTCAAGTTTGTTTAAGCAGGAGGAGGATCTGGTCTGATATCTAGTTCCATGTCTCATATCAGCCACATGTTATCTTAAAAAATATAAATGATCCCTTTGAGAGACACTATGGTGTAATGGTTAGAAGGCTGTACTTTGGGTTGAGAGATGCGGGTTTGAGACCTGGCCAGGTTGATGTGTTGTGTTCTTTGGCAAAACACTTCCCTATCACAGTGTCTCCCTCCACCAGGGAGTATAAACGGATAGCGGCAAATTGTTAGAGAGGTGCGATGAAATGCTGAGGAGTAAACTTGCAATGGAGTGGTATTCCATCCAGGAGGGAATCATAATACTCACAGTTCCTTCCGAGAAACATGGATAGGCTCTGGTTGGGTGGGCCATTTGACCCAATTACAATTTTTTTATAAATTTATCCCTAACCATCATAACTGAAGCTGTAATCAGTTGTATTAAAAGATTTTGGCTTATTATAACAAGCTGATGTTTGGTGAAAGAGCCTTCACTCCCCTGAAAAGCAATCACCTCTCAGAAATAAGTAATTAACATGAAACTTCTCCCCATAATATTCAAACTTTATCCAGCAAGCAGGTAATGAGAAATTATACTCAGACTTGTTGGGTAGGTGTTGTGAACTTCATCCAACAAGTTTCTCTGAACTAATTGCCAAGGAAATGTGTAGCAGCTAGAGTGACAAATTAATAATATTTTTTATCAGATCCTAGGTGCTGAAAGAGTTAACAAGTTATTTTTTTTAACTCCTATTTATCCTTTCTCCTTCAGGTGCTGACAAAAATAAAAAGAGTGAATTGTAAGGAAGGTCATAGTTTCAATAACTATGGTGAACCAGTTTTGTGATAGCATTAGTTAGTTATTCTTTTGTGATGGCTATGCAAAGTGCCATCTGATAATTAGTAGACTTAGTTTGAATTGTATTTGAAAACTGATGAAGGATATAAAATTATTTTGGAAGAAAATAAATTGATTTAAGTTATGATTTGATGGCTCCTTTTTTCTAAACTTCATTGGGGTTCATTAACATGCAATCAGGTTATAATTAGGCAATTGTATGATGTAAACTCTGAAGCATTTAAGATCTGGATATCTAGATTATCCCCACTTGCTGATTTGTCCTTCAATTCTACTAGCCAGTTTGCTGAAGAATCTCTCCAAACTGTGGGGAGAACTTACACATTGATCACTACAGGGAGTTTGACCCTTTAACCTTTTAATTCCCACTGGTGACCAAGACAGAATTTCTCCTTAAACTATCAGTACAATATCAAGCAGACAAGTGATGAGAATAAAGAAAAAATTTCAAATGGAATTATTGGTTGATTCAGTACCAAATTCTCTGAACTAACATCAGAACAATCGTACGGCAGACAGTAAGGAGAATTACTAATGAGATTGTGGGAGTGAAAGGGTTAAAATTTAGACTGCATTCTGGTGATTTTCAGAAAGTGTCACCAACTAAAATGCTCAAGGATATGGGGCAAGACTATATTTAACCCAGGAAATGCCTAGAAGTGATTAACATTAAATTTTCCTTGTGATTCCAACAATTATTTTGATCAACCCTTTAACTCCCAGATCAAATTTGTGTTTCTTCTTACTATCAACCATAAAATTCTTATAATGTTGGTTCAGAGAATTCAGTATTGGATCAACTTATTATCCTCAAATTGATATTTTTCTTTATTCTCATCACTAATCTGGTTGATATTGTGTTGATATTGTAAGGAGAAATTTTGATTTAGTTACTCATGGGAGTTAAAGGGTTAAGAAACACTGCATTCATGGTGCCCCTCTCCACCCAGGGGTACAAGAGGTGCCAGTATCAAAGGACTTTTACGAATCTCCTTTGCAGCCATTGATTGGCCTTCTTTCTTGACACACTTCCCGCCTTTTTTCTCCTTTTCATTTTCACAGTAGAATGAATAACATCTTTCTTTGTTTCAGCTGTAGAATTAATTTTAACAACCAAATCACTGTAGACTACAAGCAGTCCTACCCTTCAGCAAAGTCTATCGTGAAAATTGACATTAGTGTGCCACAGGAAGCTCCTGGAGTGATGTTGATGCACTGCAGGAGCTCCATGAATGAGGTGCTCTAAAACACTGACAAATGTCTGAGGTGGTTTTTATTTTTGGCTTTTATTTTTTTCCATTTATTTGTATGGTTTTACATAACAAAGTTAAAACCTGGAAGAATTAACAACAAGGTCACCTTTTCAATAGGAAACATGCTTTCTCTTGTGCTTTTCAATAACAAGCAAACTCAGATGAGTTCAAAATCACTTCTCTAATGCTACCATGTAATGACCATTTTAGAGACTTCCAAGAGGTGCAATTTTAATATGTGTGGTTAAACAAGGCCCATTCCTGTGTTCTAATAAGCGAATTTGTTTGTTCCTTCTTTTTGATCTGTGCTACAGAACAAGAAGCTGGGACATTAGATTGTTTTGTTTACCCAGTCAGGACTCACAGGGGATCATTATTAAGGAAAAAAATTAAATAATGAAATAAAAACTAGTTTGCTAGTTTGTTTAGCTTTTCTGGAGTTTGTATGGCGAAAGTTTTAAGTTAGCTATATGAAAATAAAGAAATTGATAGAAGTTGACAAAATTTGCTATTTCACAATATTTATATATATATTTTTTCATCATACCCCATTCACACCAGCAAAACATTTTAGTTAAACTGGTTTTAACTGAATGAAAATCAGAAACAGAGGACTGAAAAACTTGATTTTCCTTGAGGATTCAGGTAATCACCAACTGGAAAATGGTATGGTTGAAGGCCACAAACATTGGTGCAAGCAGCTTCAATGGATTAAAAAAAAAATGTGTTAACTGATGGTCAACAAAACAGCTTAAAAACATGTCTAAGCTTTGGTGTGAATATGGGAGAAATCGTGTCTTCTTCTAAACACAGTTTTAGAAGAGAATATACTATTAATATTGAATGTGGGCCATTGTAAACAGCATTAGTTTGAATTTTAACTTCTATGGTAATTTGTTATTGAAAAGTACAGCAAAATCAATGATAGAAAATGATTTAGCTAACAATAAACACTTATGTTTAAACTCATTTGACCATTAGAAGGCCTACTTAACTTTTATGAAAAGTACTTAACATACAAGACATTCAAGTACTGTTAGTCACCTTTTGTGCAACCAAACACAAAACAAACAAGCAAACAAAAACAACCCAACTGTAACAGATAGTTTCAAGTTTTAAGTATACTGTTTAACTCCTAGAAGTGACTTGACATCGATGGAATACCATTGATGCAAAATTTTCATTTTACCTAATAAAGAATCAGGACAGTGGACATTTTAAAGACCTTCTAAACTTCACTGCAGATAAAACATGATGAAGCCATACCATTGGCTAGAACATGACAGGGTGAAATTCAATCATCACCTTGTTTTACCAGTTGAACTTGTAATGGTATGCCCACCACACTTCATCAGGATTAATAATTAAAAAAAACTGTTGATGACTAAATTTTTTAATGTTCTACTTTAAATTTCAAAACTGAAAAATTTGAATTCATGTATGTGTTAAAAGTAAGGAATCAATGTCAGTATCTGAGCAACAGCACACCTACCTCTCCCCTAACCCAACATTAACCCCAAGTTGTTATCAGTTAACAGCTGTTGGATTAGGGGAGGGGTGGGTCCACTGTTCCTCTGAGACTGGAATTGCACCAAAGTAAAAATTAGACTTCTACGTCAGAATGCATGGATAATGATTATCATTATAATTTCAAAACGTTAAAATATGTACACATGGTATAGCAATACACAACAAATATTTTAATTCTAACAGCATCACATCTGGCAGATTTGCAATGCAAGCATCTTTGCTCAAATGTCAATGAACTTGACAATCAATATAACATCAAACACATTAAGATTCCCAAAGAATCTAAGTAGATATTTTAGACACCACACTGATGTCAACCATAATCTTTTTATACTTCAGCCATTAGCTTAGCAAGTGAGCATGTGGAATATTTCCAGAGCTTTGCAGCAAACTATTATATACTATAACTTTTACTTTATACAAATATTAATTTCATTGCATCATTACCAGTAGTGCATAAGTTGCAGAGTTGAAGGATAATTACTATGATATAATTATTTGGTGTAATGGAAAATTTTGTAATAAAATTATGAATGTTTTATATTTACTTGGGTCAAAATAACATCTAATGTACTGCTCTCTAGCTAAATATATATACTTTTGATAGCCTACTTTCCATACACCACTGAGTCAAAATAACACTGTTGGTGTCCAATTTTCATCACACCTCTTTTATACCTTCCAACCTCAAGAACACACAAGCATTAGTCAATCTGTCAACAACACAGTCAATCAATGTCATCACTGTCAAATAGATCATCTGGTGGAACAATGTCAGTTGCAATTGGTGCTGTCACAGATGCTGTTGTATCATTGGTCAATGTTTGATCTGTAGTGGTATTAACCATGGTTGGAAGTTCTAAAGTTGGATTTGCCTGGAAGAGAAGACATAGCTTGGCATAAAAATACAACTACATGAAAACAGATGAGAGATGAGATGAGTCTGGTAATACAAGTAGCAACTTGTTCTGGAGAGATCAAAGGAAAATTTTTCTTTGAATGTAATTATGCTAACTATACAAAAAATTAATGTCAGCTTAAAAAATATGCTTCCAAGAATTTGGATAGTATTTGTTTGACTGTTAGAATGAAACTAAAATTTTCCACTAAGAAGTCCTGAAATTTGTGAATTTCACCAAACTTTCCTCTCAATTACTTTCCAAAACCATATCCTTGACAAACAAGCAGTTATTTTTTTTTTTTAAGTGGAGATGTTTGACATTAGTGAAGGAGGACAAGTAAGGGGAGCCCTTGATTATGGAGGGGGGGGGGGGGGGCAAGTGGTATGGGAGATGAAAGAGGAGAGGGTGCTCCTGTGCCCCTGATTTTAACATGAGCATTACTCACATTCTTCCTTGGTCTTCCTCTGCTTCTTTTTGGTTGAGATGCATCAGGAAGAGGCTGTAATATGATTAGAAGTTACAAAGAAAAAGAATTATGTTGCTATGAGATCTACCGGCCAAATGAAGTAGAGCTTAAACTGCATTAAGTAAACCCCAATATTCAAGAGACACCATGTAGTAACTAGGCAGCCGACAATTCAAGTCCCATTATACAGGAACGTTTGGGGCAGGGTTGGGATCTGATTTGCAAGGAACAAAGATGCTTGTACCATCATCCAAGGAACAATTCACCGATTTTGGTTTTGCTACCTCAGTTCAGGTGGGCATCAGTGGTTCTCGACAAAAGAGAGATTATTTATCAAGCTTGAGCCTGTCTGAGGTGATGACTTCTGAGTTTCTCTGCAAGTCTGTCTTTTTATGTATTTCTAACTAAGGCATGTGATATGAACTGAAATTATAGGTTGTGCAGGGTATATGTTATAAGGCATTTTTTGTGCTTAGTTTCACATAAGGTAAAGTAGTTTATAGAAACATAACAGATTGTTCTGAGTGTTAGACTGATTACTAATGGTAATTTATTGAACTAAGAGCCCAATGGAATTTGATCTGAAATTACTTGTATGATTCTTAATCAAAACTACATGATACAAATTTCAATTACTACTGATTTATGACCATTTTGAAATTGCAAAATTTAACTGCTCAAACACAGTATTATAGTCAGGGAAATTATTTAATTATCCAGCACTAAACCCATTGGTAAAAAAAAAGTGGAAACAGGAACACTTTTACAATGGCTCCCTTGTTTTTCTCTTCCCTGCAATTTCACAAGTTAATTTTAACAAGTCATGAAATATGATTGGTTATTTCGTTTTGGTGTCACTCTCTTATTGGCTAGGAAAAGGATGCAATTTAGAGCAAAAAATAGTGCAACTCATGAATAAATTGCATTGCTGATAGCTGATCAGATTGCAAGGATAAACAGAAAATTTCATGGGAAAGATAAAGGGTCTTTCCAGTAGATTCATCCTACCCATTTTCTAGGTCTTCCTCTTGGCCTCTTTGGTCCTGTTGGAACTGGTTTTGGCTGTAAAATGGAAAAAAAAATTCGCTTCAGTTTTGAGGCCTTCAAACTTTCTCCTAAAATGTATCCATCCATCTAATCAGAGTTTTTCTGTTTTCCACAACAACTTCATTGAATGAGTGAAGTAAAGATAATTGTTAAGGTGTGTACATAAGAGAGTCAGAAGGATAGAGAAGTAGTTGTGGTGTCTAGGGCTAATGATAAAATGATAAAGTCTGTACTGGGGCCGAGTTGGCTGCTGCCCACCAAACATGACACAAAGACCTGGCTACATCTTAAACCTGAACCTCTAGTGTGATCTAGAGACCAGCCACCACAGCATATATGTGTAGGGGAAAAACCGACACCACTCTTATAAATGTCCTAATTTCCTTGGGATTCACATTAATAACAGAGCTCGCAGAGCGTAGCCCCATAATTAAACAAAATACTAGTAACCCATCAAGCCAAAAAAATTTGGATGTATGACCGCATGACTGTACGACCATACAAGGTGCTACTTTTAACATGCATGGTCAACTGTACTGCGGGCATGCCAATGCCATGGCTTTGTTCAGTAGTCAGTGCACTGGGCTCCAAGTTGGACCACCCAGGTTCTAGTCCTAGCCAGGGCAAGGCATTGTGCCCTTGAGACGTGCAGTAAAAAAAAAAGTGCGAGTTCCACTTTTAGGCTTAGCTAAATCTATATTATCTCGTATCACAAACTGCATGGCTATAAACATGTAAAAATGCATGGCTATATCCTATACCAGTTCATTTTTTTCAGGATTTATAAAGGAATTTGAGGTCTTGTACCCCTATGTTGATGAATTTTTCTTTAATTTTATTTCTCTTTTTCCTTTTTCTTTTTACAATGAATAAGATTTGGTAATCAATGTTGATGCAATATTCTAGTCCTGATGAAAGGGTTAAAAACACTACAGCCAATGATAAAAGTATATATTTTCAATAGGGGAATCCTTTATTAAGTTTGTTTTGATGAGAAAAATACTTAATAATGAGTTTCAGCAGACACACTTTGTTAATTACAGCTGGTAATGAAATGATAGGTTTACTCAAATCTTAGAATCTTGCTCATTGGCTGATAATTGGAAACATTCAAGCCTGAAGAAATCTTTCCCAACTAAAACAATGCACATCTACATCATTCGGCTTTCTAGTTTTTTGAAATTATCCAAATGTATAAATGTGGAGCGCCTTTGTACAAAGCTGTAATGATAATGGTGTCTTCTTTGTTACAAGTTGTTTGCCTAATTGAAAGCAACACTTGAGAATATAAAAGCGTTTTAACAGATTTGAGAGCTTCCTGCTCAGTCAATAACCCAATTACAAGGCTCATTGCATGTGTTATTTATATTTCATCAATAGGGTATTTGAATAAGGCAGAAACAGCTGTTGTAGGTAATCAGCTTGCGGACCAATCCAACATGTTTTTGCTGTTGTGAAATAAGTTATGGGAGGTACAAAGAATACAAATCTACCACATTTAGCATATATTTTTATGTTGTCGTGGTGAATATGGCATTATGGTCTGTTGTATAGTTAGGGATGAAGGATACTGTAGACTTCTTTAGAGAATGATAAAAGTAAGCTAACCTTGTGAACAGGGTGTTAAACATGCAAAATTGTGAGCAATATCCTAGATAAGTTTGAGGAGCAGAGGAACATAGGAAAGACTTTCTGAGGGCCCAAGAACTCTAAGGAAAATTTAGTTTACATGTGGGTGCATGTTATATCAGCTTTGCAGATGGTAGAAATTTCAAATTGTCACAGGGAACAATAAACATGGTCCTCTTCTTCTTTCCCACCTAAACCCTTTACACCCTAACATCAGTATGCATATTCTCCTTACTGCTCTTTATCCATTTCCTAAGGTGCTGACAAGGAGAATTTGTCTGGTGATCAAAAGCTTCTTTCCTTAGTGATCATTCCCTTTATTCTCATGACCTTAATGTGTGATTCTGGGATGATATTGTAGGGAGAAATTTGAGGTTAGTCACTCTAAGGGTTTAGAGGGTTAACCTCGGATCTGACCGGGACAGACCCATATCAAACCAAAGGTTTCTCCTCAGTTTCACTTTGTCTTCATTTTAGCTTGGCTTTGTATTATTGAGGTGAATTAAAAGTACATCAGACTATGGGCATTTTTGTCCATGTCCACTCCTTCTTCTTCTTTTTTTTCCTTTTTTCTCCTTTTCTTTCTTTTCGTCTATTTCTTCTATCATCTGTTACCTACATTTCTCAGATCCTTAATTTCCAATTATTTCCCAAAGATTTATGATCAAAAGAGCTTACAATTTTATAACTGATCATAAACGATCCACCAATCATACATTAAGTGTGGTTTTCAAAAAGACGCCTTTTTTTAAGCCACTCAAGGAAAATGAATCTAGACTAAGCTAAATCCACCCCTTTGATTGTAGACATCTACATCTATCAAAAAAAAAAAACCCTCTCCCTACGGACATATTGCCCACAATTACTCATCACAAAAAAGGTCAAAATAGACAAAGATCGATGCTACACCCATTTGGCATCCAACTCTGAAAATTTTAAAAGAACCCAGACATGAATCTTTTTTCTATTAGTTCTTTTTTTCAGCTTTGCATGACTCACAGAGGTTTTTTTGTCATATATTTATAACAACTGTCAAAAACAGCCTTCATTAAATCTTATGGCCATGTGGTTGTATAATTATTTAAAATCACCAACCAATAATAACAAATAAAACCAACATTCAGTGAAAGAGATTGTGCAATACTAGTTTCTCAAAGGCAGTGAATTTTTTTTAAAGGTTAAACTAATGAAAATATTCATGTACCTTGATGCATTTATTTTCCATTTCTATTTTTATTTTTGATTTTATTAGTCTCTATGGAGGAAAGGTGACACGAAAAACTTACACCAAATGTATTTATAAATATGCATGTTTCTATAGAAAGTTACATTGGGAATTATTCCACCATCAGATTATCAGGTTAAGAAAAACGAAAATTTTCATGACTTGGGTTTATATACGTTGCAATTTCTAATCAAGTTTTAGAAAGTTGGTCCTATTTAGCATTTATGATTATTTAACTTCGATTTTTGGTAATGTTTTTCAAATAAGGAGTGATTAACCGTTTGAAATTGGCCGTAATGTGAAAGAAATCGGAACAAAATTAAAACAGGAAGACTCCTCAGAGCAACCTCCATCTTATGGCAGCTGCGGTGCAGAACTTGAAAAGTTGACATTGTTGACAAAATTCAAAGAAAGCCTAGGCAAAGTTTCTTTTTAAAGCAATGTGTCACCTGCAATGTATACCCGGCTGTGGGATTAAAAATGATTAAGCGATATCTCTAAATTGTTTTCAAATTTGTCCCGATTAGCATATCAAGTGGGTGGCCGACCGGAGACGATGAAACTGTGAATTTAAAAAAATCTGAACTCTGAAGCGTGTGATCCGTGCAAACGCAGGGACACACACGAACAAAAGTTATGTGTTTTTTTTCCTCAGGTACCTCGCTGCAATTGTTCATCAAAACAACATTAGGCAAGAATTAAACAGAGATAATAAAAGTGTTTCTTTGCTTTGCTTTGTTGTCTTAACGTTCTTTCCAGCGAAACAAAGGACGAAAGCGAAAGGTACTTTCCTGCGGTTTCCGGTGTGTATTTGAAAATAGTACTTCGAAACTTCACCATTCGTTTAAAACTTCCAACACAAAGACGGTCCGAGTAATTTTCGTGAAATTGAAAAAGAAATCGAGAACACCAACGCTTTCAAACCGATCATGAAATTCTACCGATGAAACCGCGTCGAATGCACGTGTTCCTTAAGAGTAAACGTCAAGTGTCTACTACCTCAAATGTAGGAAGTGTTATGAACGAGGTGTTTTGCAAAATCATGAAAAAACAAAAAATCAGCGGAGGGGCAAAGCTTCCTTTTTACATTCATTCAAGACTTTTTCTTCCGAAAGTCACTCGTTGATCAGCGATTTCAATGAGCGATCACTCGGTAACTACGGTGTACAATGTTTGTATTACGTATCACGAATCCCACGTGAAAAAAATCAATTTATGAGGGACACATTTTCATACGCCTTCTTATCGCTTAACGAATTTCCAATCGACTACCGCTTTAAAGTAGGAAGTTATAACCCACTTTTACATCCGCGTAGGATTGCAATTCTTTCAGCGCGTGGCAACGGCGTTCAGTTTCAGCCCTAATTCCATTGATTTCCACTCGATTTTCCACGATAATTTTATCGTTTCTTATCGGGCACAGAGCCAAGACTTATCCCACAATATCACAGTTGTGAACCTTTCATAGTGTCTGTGTTTTCCGATCTAAGCCACTACACACATTGTGCAGATGTGGAACAAAAGATCCTTCACAAAACACTCCAAAAAAAACCGCGCACGTGGAAGTTCTTTATTACGATGTCATTGAAAGACGGTGCTCCAACATGGCGCACTAATATTTTTCCCGCGAAAACAACAGCTACAACACGTGCTGCATCGCGAAACACGCACGCATGCGTCGCTGGAAACCTCACGTGATTTATGGGTGTACTGCAAGAAACTATGCAGAGAATTTCATGCTTTGAGGAACAGACGATCGCGAAAAGTTTTACACACGGGTTTTAATTACCGGAAGTTGAGTAAAAGGAAAGTAAATTCTCGATAACATTATACGCAAAGCGAACGAGAGTGCACTTAGCGAGTGCTTGGCGGCCGCGAGACTTTCGTGTCTCAGGGAGTACTTCGGTACCTCTACTTAGTGATGCTTAGCACGCATAACTAAGTTATTATGCACCACAGTTGTAAACATTGAGAGTACAATGCGACTGGCACTTGTCTTTCTGCATTATTAAGCACATCACAATAGCGTGTTCAACGGAAAAACTCATGTGCAAAGTTACATTTATTTGGATTGGCACCAGAAACGACGAAAAACAACTCCCAGACGCGCAATTTTTACAGCGAAGCACCGAAAAATTAGGAACCGGCCCGTACTCAAACTGTCGCACCAAAATTTCTGCGCGCAACATCACGGGACAGCGGAATAATTTTTCGCTCAAAGACAACAATCTGAGCCAAAAATATTAATAACAAAACATGCATAACACAGATTCTATAGCAATACAATAACTTATATGAAGCACGCTACTGTAAGAATCGAAGTTAACGCACAATATTGGCGTACAGAAGACAGGAAAAATTTACCACCTACAAAATATCATACCTTGGGATTTTTATTTTTGGAGCCTTTCGGTCGCCCTCTGGGTCTTTTTATCACGGGTGTACCATCGTCCTCAGGCTTCTGCGGTGAAAAAGTTAACAAACATTTACCATTGATATTTAAGCTGCGCTAATTTTAGTCCTTGCCAAATGACCTCATATTCTCTTATATGACCCTACTGCATGTTCCGAAATTCGCCACCATGATCGGAATGAGGCAGCTCCGTAACACGTTACATTTGTTTACCACACACTACCTCGGCAAAGTTCTTTCGCGGCCTTCCTCGTTTGCCTTTCCTGGGCACTTCCGTTGCAGACAACGGCTTTTCATCCTGAACAAGTTCGTTCACCGTTTCCTGTGTTCCTTCCGTCGAAGAGTCCTTAGCGCTGGTTTCATCTGTTCCCGTGCTAGGCTCACTCATGGTGCGCGCACTTGAAAAATAATTTTAGTGCCGTGCGCGCGACGCTTGAATGAAACCTTTGCCCGTGCGCTTTGAATTTTTAGGACCCCGCCTTGAGATGTTGTAATCGCCTTGGAATTTTTTCCCAATATGTCGATGAAGCGAGAAGCGTGGGAGTTTTAAGTTCCTCTTCCTTTCCCCAATCGCAATAATTCGCATTTGAGGCGCTATGCTAAGTTTACGCTGTTGTTGTCTCCAACACAAATCATTGGCAAATTTACTATCGTGTGGCTCTGCGCTAATTGACTAATACAACTTAGTAGCGTCGTTGTGATTGGCTCTCACGTGATCCATTGTCAGTTATACCCGCGCAGTTTGTTTCGCACAAGAGCCAAGACCACCCTCTTGCCTTTGAAAACGCCGACTGATTGACGCGCGACCAAAGCTACCGGAAATGAAATCAAATAAAAAAATTCGTTGGGTTGCTATAGGCTTTGAGTGCAGGCATTTTCTTCTGCACTTGCCCATTCGTTTAACTTTTCCCGCGAGATGCAAAATTAATCGAGAATGGGCCGATCTTCCCGAAAAAACAAAATTTAATCCAAGGCACACGGCTGTGATAAGTTTACGCAGAGTTTCCGTGAGGCCTTCCCGATTACGCCGGCCGTAATGAGAGGTCGGAAAGAGCAGCATTCCAAGAACTTCCTTTGGATTTCATTATCTTCAAACCTCAAAATGTCTCGCGCCTTCAGGACCAGTTGGTCTAGGGGTCGACCGCGTATTTTATCATAACAACAGCATTCAGGTCACTACTTAAGGAATTTTGAACTCGATCCCCTTAAGAAAGTAACCGTCACTCGGAAAAAACAACAACAGTTTAACGATTTATCTGTTGATAACAGGTGACAGAAACGCACGAGAAACTTGTTAAATTACTTTATCAGCTATTTATTACCCGAAGACACGAAAGGGAAGAACAAAAAATGATAAAATTCGGCCTCCAATATAGTAAACAGGATTTAAAACTCTTTTACTGTGATACATTGGGTACCGATTACAAAACTGTTAAGTTTGACAACATCACTGAAGTAAGAATTTTGAAGATGTAACATGCTTAGATGCGAAATGAGATCCCCAGACCATTTAGCATTCATCGCCTAAGCCTATTTTTACAGTTTGCTGACTAAATCCAGAACATCGGAGGTGAGGATGATGTCACGGGAGAGGGACAAACACCAATTTTAGATTGCATGCACGAGGCAGACGTAGTAAAGCAACAATGAACGAGTAAACATACTTTACAGAAAGTAAGCGTTGACAGTTTAAGGCTACAGGTTTCGGAAGTGAAAAAACAACCGCTTTTCCGGTACAAATACACAAACACTCAGGGTTGTTACATTTTTTGCTGACTAACTGGAAACATGTAAGCTTCTCGTATATTGAAGCTCTCTGCGATTCTCTTGAGAAGTTAATGAAATCTTTTTGCTGCTTTAAAACTGTCTCAAAGTTAGTTCTTCGTGACGTTTCTGCAACCGGTACAGAATTCCGCTCGTTCTTAACCTTCAGGTGAACGTTTATGAAAAGACGTCCCCATATCCAGGGAACAATGTTGGACACAAGCCAACACGGCTCGTTGTAAGCGTTAATCTTTAGAAGGGGGACTGAAATTTTCTAGAAGCGAGTTCACTGAGGCGAGCAGCCAAAGTTTGCTAAATTAAAAGTTTACTTGCCGATCAAAGCCGTGAAAGCCATTAAAATATGTCGTTAAGCTGAAAAAATGCTTTACCATGGTACAAAATCTACACCCAGCAAGGTGACACTGATATTTAGGGTTAATATCTTAATCTTAGAGAAGAGATTCAATTCCGGGATTTTTTCGTTACAATCCTGCATGGCCTCTTTAGTGAAAACTGAATTACGCCAGTTCTGGCAATATCTAGAGATGACGAAGCAGAATCTGGCAGCTGAGCCGTCGAATGTTCGAGAAGGAATGCCTTATTGCGAAATTTTCGTGAAATTCTTGGCGAGGTTATCCCACATCTAACTTGCCCTACCCTTGAAGAGTGATGCACTTCGAAAGGTTTCTAGAACCTTCGCTGTTTCTATTTGCGTTGATTTCACAATTGCTTGCAACTGTTACTCATCGCATATTGAGTAAGACCTAGGGAATTCTCTGTGCGGTTATCTCGGCCCACCCGAGCGACAAAAGATAAAACATACAGGGGAACAGAGGATGCACCGTTAGTTTCTGTGTTGAAGTTTGCTGTGAGTTCCAGTCAACTTCCTTGTTCAAATGACGTTGAGTTTTTCAGTTCGTACAAAGATTTCAGGCGTGGATTTTTGTCTAGAAGACCGGCGTTGATGCTTCTAATCTGCATTGAGAAGAAAGACTTTGGTTGAAAAACCTGGAACATGCGCTTTCCTAATCAGTTGCTAAGTTAGAAGACTGGAAAGTGCACACTTTGACATTCGAAACACAAATTTAAATAACTCTTTCTAGGGTAGGACGATTAAAAAGGTCTACTTACATTTCATTACAATTAGATAATCATTATGTTGTTGTTGTCAACTTCTTTCTGAAATGTCCTTCTAAACGATCGCTTTTTCTATACAGCAATAATTTTATAATCTGTTCGGGGTTGTGGGCAAGACATCTCCTTCCCACGACAACTACTCAGTTTGGAAAAGCTTCCTCCAGAGCAGTAAAACAAGTTTTACAAACATTCATTTTCCCCCATTTTTCAACAGAGGGCATTCAACTGGTTTCTCGTCGAGCGAAATTCCCCGATGATGCACCATACTTACTAATTGAAACAGAAACATACTAAGCATTGTTAACGGTACAACACACATTTTTTCTTCCGCCATGTTATTCACCCTATGAGTGCTAAATTGAGTTTAAATATACATCAAGGATCTACGCTGTCAAGCATAGAAATATTGGATACAGCTGTTTCTTTGTTTTTTGTGTGTTTTGCTTTGTTCTACAGTGACTCCGAGTATTTCACAGGAAATACATGGCTACTGTAATAGTTAACTGTACTTTCAGAAAATAACCTGAATTTTGATCAATAAAGTCACATGCTGGGGAAATTCATGTATTAAATAACGACTATAGCTTTACTTTTCAGGCTAGTTTCTCCTGCTAAAAGAGACAATTTTAATCAGTCACAGTTTGTACCAAATGCAACAAGAAAATTGTGGAGTATCTCTTTGGTGGCATTCAGGAAAGTTTCAAGCCATCCCATAGCCAAAATAAACGCCACTACATGAGACAAACAACTGCCATTCGTGTGCGGGTGGCATTAAAATAATTCCCTCTCTGTTCCATTAATTTGGGTATCTCCTGTTCTGATGGAGTTGGTCGTAAGTTCCAAGAACAGCATGCATAATTGCAGTGATTCCATGGTATTTTTTAAAGATTCTCCAGACAAAAATTTGTTGCTCTAATATGTTGGGTGCGTTTCCTCCAGATATAAAAAGCTAAGCTGTGATCACATTGTAGACAATACATACATTGAACCCCAAACTAAATAAATAGAAAATAGACAAACAGATATGGAAAAAACTGACTACCGCACGCTTTTTTAGAAAAAAAAAAAACCGACACATTTCCCTCATTTATCGAGTTAAAGTTCCTTACACCGTCTTGATTTTCCGAAGGAATTGCAGTTAACGACTTCTGCAGATTTGAGATCTCCCTGGTAGAGGATCTACTACAGTTTATAAACATAAAATATAACGAAATGCAGAATCATCGACGATAGACACTGAATTGCCACATTAAAGAAAAAAAAAAAAAGAGTGAGATGCTTTAGAACGTTCTCCATAAGGAAAGAAACAAACTGGATAAATCAAAAGGTCAGACATCACATCGATCCTTAATGGTTGACACACGACAAATGTAAAAATAGCATTCGAGAACGCCCTTTTCTATAGCTTCTGAGTAAAGCAACATTTAAACTTTGTTCCAAAAAATGAGAGATTCCAAAACGATAAAAACTCCTTTTAGGACTTATTGGATCAGGAAAAGCTTGATTTCACAGTTCAAACAAATCTGTCTTTCTGATAGTAACTTTTAACAATTCTTAGTTAATTCTTGATTGTAGTTGTATTTACTAAACCGTTTTCCTCTCTGTCCAGGGAACAGTAAACAAGAAAGCTCTTTTAAGACAGCGTTTCAAAAACCACAAATTGAAAATATCTTAAGAACTATTTATGGTACAAGTTGAAAATCATTCTCGAGAACGGTGCAAAGAAGAAGTTGTAACTAAAACGTTCACCCCATGATTGTAACAATGTACCAATTACAAAGCCTTTGAAATCTTCGCTTTTATTCAGAGGCAAGAAGCTTGAACTTTGAGAAAGATCTCCTTGACGGACATTCATAAAGTTTGCTTTGACGAAAATCACAGACCGAAGTTTCTTAAATTATTGAGAAGAGGCTATAAATGCCCTGTGTTTCACAAGAATTAATCGTATTATGAAAAGATTGCCAAAGTTTCTCAACCCTGATCGTCTGGGAGGTGACTTATCAAAGCTTCTTTCAGCTTGCTAACGACGTTAAACTATTGAATCAGTGGTCTCTTTGCAAGATTAAGAACACTGGCTTCATAATTATACACTTTCTACCTCATTCAAAACAGTCCAGAAGTAATTTCGGTTGTTCAAATGATTACAGGGTCTGAGCAGCGAAAGATTCTGACAGGGTTTGGACAGCTAATAAAGTGGAAGCACCTTCACAAAACATACAGCGGAGTTTTTCATATTTAATGATATGTTTTGGTTTGTTTTTCTGCCCAAAATCGAAAGGGTAGTTCTTGAATCTGTTGATGTCTAAAAGAGAACACAGCCTTCCAAAATTGTACTCATAAGAAGTTTATACTTTCATTGCTGTATAGGTTTAAGGATTATGGAAAGAGACACAGAAATCTGTCAACCTAAAGCTCTAAATTGTATCCATTCATAAATTATGGAGTAGTACTTTCAAATGGAACTGTTTGTTATGTTGTAAGCAGTGGCTCTTTCTTTTAAGTGTGTGGATAAAACCTCTGTGTGTGACCATTCATAGGAAAGCTAATGAGCTGTCCTTTGATCTAGAATTGTATTACTGATTCTATACTGTACAAGCTGGTTCTTTCTGTGTGTGTTTTTGGGTTAACCCTTGCGTGTGACCATTCATATGAAAGCTACTGTGCAGAAATATCATATGATGCTGCTTGCTATACTGTAAAGTTGGTTCCAACTCTAAAGTCCTAAATAAACCTCAATATGTGACTGTTTGAATGAAACTAAGAGACTGGCAATATTTTCTTTGTGGTACTGTATTCTGCTTTTCGAAGTGTGATTCTCTTACATATTTCTATGTCTATCATCCACCTAAGTTTGGCTGAGAAAATTAAACAAATAAGCCTTCGGGTTTTTCATAAAATTGGGTGTGACTTTTCACAAAAACTTAGTCTAAAGCAGTAAGTTCTTGTTAGGTGTGCATCGGATATGCATGCAAGAATTCTTCAAAATTTCTGGTCCTTCAAAACAATTCTCGTTTATAGCTCTAAATTGCTAATAAAGGAAGGCTTTTTTACTAATATGTTCATGAGATAGTGCGAGTTAATTAAATAATTTTTACATTAGTTACAAATGTAAAACTAGGACACAACTTCTTTTTTCAAGTAGGTTACATCATTGTTCACTGTTTCCTTAATTCAAATGAGCAGATTGCCTAGTGAAAATAGTCTTCTGTATGAACTTATTGTACAACTCTTGCTGGGAAAACATCAAAACACATTGACCCCCAAAAATAAACCGACAATTTACCTATCAATAATATAACATTACAGCTTTTGTATTCGCCTTTGAAACCATGGATATTTCGCTTTAGCCAGTGCAACTGTTTCC